ATGATTGCCTATGGGCATGAAATAATTAGTTACAACGAAGGATGCGTGGCGCTCTGTGTAGTGTGTACATCTCTTGTAGGTTGTAGCTGTGGTGAATTTCCCCGTCTTGCAAGCGTTTCCACTGCTCTTCTGGTAATCGTCGGTCCTGTCGCAAATGATGGGTGTTTGGTGACTGGTCAAGACCATCGCTCAGCCGGCCCGCAGTCTGACCATCTCAACCCCGTGTTGTGCCAGGCGGCGTGGACGGTCGTTGCATGAAACCGAGAAGCACGACTGGTGCAGATCCACCAACGACACGGTCTCTGCGTGTCTGCAAGATGCGAACAAAAACATCCCCTTAGGACATACCTAGTCATCAAACCCTGCTACTGACGCATGCTGTTCCTTCCAGAAAACTCGATAACCATCGATATCCCATTGGCGCTTACACCTCCAAACCGGAACATGCCTGGTAGCCACAGCTCTTGAACGGTCACGAGAAATATCGATGCTCTGCTCGAGTATCACATATTGCTGCAGGCTTCATGTTATTACCAATGCTGTGTGCGTTCACTGACTGTAGTAAGTCGGTTTGCCATGCAGAGAACGGGGTCCGAAATTATCAGTATAAACGCTACGCCGCAACCAAATGCATAGCAGTTACACTATGGCCTTATGGGTGCCAACTTGAAATTGTAACGTGGGAGCGACCGCATGGTGTGACGCAGTGTTGGACCCCGGCCCGGCCTTGCTCGCTTGTTGTGATCATTCCAAGCCATTGTCATTACCTGTACATGAATTGCTGAGCTGGCAAGCTGTCGCCTTTCTTTCACGCACCTCAATGTCACAGTGAAGCCTAGGGTTTGAGGTAGCGGAAATCAGAACAGTTGCTGAGCCAGAACCATTATCTTGTCCGCGCTACTAAGCACCATGTTGGGCTTTGCGTGTGTCTCTGCGCTCCTCCTGGAAGCATCGCTGCTCATACATGTAGCTCAGGTGCAAGGTGGAAGCTACGAAAACATCTTCCTCAGCCTCCAAGCCGGCGACGGCTCACAGCGACAGAGTGATCATGATCTCTTAGATGTCGGCGTCTCTCCACTCTACTCGACCGTCCAGCACGCTTTGGACTGTGCCGCCAAGCTTCGCACGGATGGTTTTTGTGGCAGCTCGGTAAGGGACAGTGGGACGAAACCCGCGAGGAGGATCGATCATGCCGACACAATTCACATATTTCTCCGCGTTGATGAGACCACGCAATGCTCCGTGTTGGCAGGATCTCGGCGGGCCTACTTAGACATTTCCAACTTGAATTCGCTGAACGTCGTCATTCAGGGAGTGGTTAGTTCGACATGTTCGCATGCTAACATTACTAGCAATAAGCAGGTGAGAGCTAAGATGCAGGTTAGGAAGCAAGAAACCAACATCAGCTTCTGGAACCAGCCGCCCAAGGTGCTGCTGATACGCAATAGTTCGTTGATCGTTTTCAGGCACGTCAGTTTCGAGGGGAATGAGGAGGCATGTGTACCCGGACAAGCAAAGATTCACCTTTTCCGTGCGTTTGGCGTGCTCTTCTACGACGTGATCGCCGTGCAGACGGAGCGCTCGCGTAAGCTTCTTTCTATCCGGAACTCATATTTGATCGTGATGCGAAACTGTACTTTCGATGGATCCAGCTGGAGTCAGCGGGCGCTAAGTCCCTTTGATGATGTGTCTACGCCTGGCGAGGTAGCTATTCACATCTACCTATCAGATATGGACTGTGTGAATGAGACGGCGGAGAGCCGCAGCTCGGTAGACAACTCAGGGTTCAGGTCTTTCCTCAACCAGCTCAGATCTGCAGTTCCCGATTACGGCAGTGACGTCATAAAAATAATGGTTGATGGGCGCAATCGCTCGTGGCACTGGCAATGGCCAAGCTTCCTGATGACCTCTTGCACCGTGAGCTCGCTCGGCGGTAAGCCGAGCCACTTCAACCAGAAGCTGAGCGGCACTGGGGTGAAAACGAAAAATGGCACCAGTCTTAGCCTGTTCTACAAATCAGTGCAGCGGTGTTTCGTCGCCGTGGACAACACGATCTTCACATCGAACAGAAGTCCGTTTGGGTCGACGATGCGAGTTGTGTTCCTTGGTTTCGGCACGAAACAATCGAGCGAGAACAGTGCTCGAATCTCCGGGAGTCAGTTCTTGGGTAATCATGGCCAATTCGCCGGAGCCCTCCTTGTCCGCTTCGTGAACAGCAGCACCGAAAGCAATTCTGTCTCAGTGGACAACTGCGACTTCGTGGGAAATTCAGCGACGTACGAGGGTGGCGTGGCATCGGTACATTTTGGGGACGAGAGTGGATTCCGCGGGAATAGAGTATCATTTTCCAACTGTATCATGGATTCCAACAAGGCCGCGTTCGAGGAACACTCTCCCACTCCAGGTGGCGCAGTGTCGATCCGATCCGATCACCTCGACAACGTCCGGTGTGCGAGAAGCTTGAAATACTGGCAGCTGGTATCGGCTCCGTCAGTGAAGGCTGATTCTCTTAGCATGTCCAAGTCCAGTGCCACCAGCGGTCGGTGTGCTGAGGTAGAGTTTTGCAACTGCACATTCGAAAACAACGTGGGTTACCGCACTGTGAACGTCGTGCGTGCCAATGTCATCTTCAGCAAGAGAACGTGAGTTGGCTGCTGGGAATGCAAAGACCCTTCTGTAAGTTGTGTTTCCCCTCTTTGCCATTGCAGCCGCAGCGAGAACACTTGTCCAAGTAGCTCAAATTGGAATGGCTGTTTTCAAGTACCAGCTGGGAGGTGATAATTCCGTAATCCAATACAGGGGCGGTGGAGCCGCGGTCCGGTTGGTCAGGCCATGGCCCGACCAAGTCTCTGGCTGTCAACTGGTGGCAACTGCTGAGGGGGTTACGTATACATGCCATATTAGGCACAATGTATGGACTGTTGTAGCATGGGCAAACCACTCAAACACTGCTTCCACCGGTCCTGCAATAGAGAGATCCTGTGTTACACTAGTGAAAGCCACGGTTGGCCCGATTTAGGGCGCGTTCGAAATGTCTTCATCAACTGTTCAAACAAATTTTTTAAATAAGATCAGTTGAAAAACGAAACTCCTCGAAATGTCAAAGAGTGACAATTCGAACGCGGGGGGTGGTCAGGTCGTACATGGTTGGTAGATCTGCATCGCTTCAGGCACTCAGCAATACATCATTGTTCAAAAGCGAGCCCATTTCAGGGCCGGTGGAACCAGTCCGGTTTGTCAGGCCATGGCATGGCCGGACCACCTGTTTGTCCACCTACGCATGTTTACTGGCGAGGAGGTCATGACTCATGTGTCCCTGCGACAAGTTATCATACACAATGTATTAAAAGACATTGGTACGTCAGGACCGATCAAAAATTGCGTCCGCTGATCCTGTATATCCATTTAAATTACTTTGGGAATCACCTGACCCAGCACATTGTGCTGCACTTCAGTGGTTACATGCAGATTGTTGTGAATTTGTTAGGATTGAATACTTCGCAGTACATGTACATGTACACGGTTACATATGCCACCGTACATGCATGCTTGTATCCCATTGTGGCCAGTGTGATCGCAAACTGCAGTGGAGGAGCGCTGGGACTCCGCAGCTCCAAGGCATTCATCTTCGGCCAGATGATCATCTCCAATAACCAGAGCAATTGTGGCGTGGCTATGATCCTGGAGGAGAAATCGACGGTTGATGCGACTGAGGTAGGTGCAAGGGAATTTGTTTGTGTTTGTTTGTTTGTTTTTTGATTTATTTTAGTTTGTTGCCTCAACAGTAATGTATAACTTCTGTTGCGCTCTAGAACTCGTCAGTAACTGAACTGTTTTTATTGTTAAGAAGACACAAACTTATAGAGTGCGAAGAAGAGTATAGCGGGAGCGGTGGAAGGAGATCCGCTGGACAGCTGGATAGTGTATAAATAAGCACACTAGGGAAAGGCTAGACAGTATGTCTCTAGACACCAATAGGTATTGTACGAAAAGCCAGTCAATAGTACTAAAGAGTGAAGTCAACCCAGCACAGGCAATAGCTCCAGACAATCATGACATGCATGATACAGATGATACAACAACTTCAAAGAGGGTCGAACAGGAAACGAAATAACTGACAGTCACCAGAAAGGCAATGGGAGAGAAAAAGGTGGAGCATTTCGCCGAAGCCAACTTACTGCAAGAAACGTGGCTTATAATATGAACGAGCTGGCAAAGCATGAGCGCAATCACCCAGAAATGCACTGTCCAGGGAGCCGGAATGAGCAAGAGGGATGCAATGTGATGTGCATTTCAGTCTTGAGCTGCTCATTTACACTGTTTCCAGGGTGGCGCTGATTCAGGGTGTATGCGCGACAAACTCATACGCATTATTTGCACCCTGTGCATGACAGATACCGACGAGAGTATAATTATAACCCCCCAGTAGTGTGCAACTGCTGAGACCCTTTCTATGGGGTTCGCCGACAGCGAAAACGCACATCACGTGGTGTAGGGTCCCAGTTGTACGTTTCCAGGCCGTTTCTAGCGAGTAGCGGAGTGTGAAGGAGAGGACACCAACAACTCACTCTCGTTCGGCTAACCGACAACTAACCCTGAAGGGCTGTCATCCTTGTTATTTTATCTTGGTGTGCGAAACTATAATGTTGTACAATATGTGAGTACTAGAAAAGGTACCGGTAGTACGGGAAGTAGTACGCAGCATGCAATTCTAATGTCATATATGGACAGGTGTGAATATGAGGATGGGAAGGTTATAGTTATATGTATAGTGATATTTAATGGCACCAAATGATATAGTTCCAATATCATCACACGGAGTAACGAGCGACCTTGGGGCTCAGGGCCCTACGCTATGCTTTTTTTGCCTAGCTGATTAGCTGATCATTGGAGATGTCTTTGATGGTACGGTACGGGACAGGTACGGGGTAGCGCCAGGCATCATTTCCGTTTGCCGTTCTTTGGCAATAGCTCTGGCCTTCATCTCGGGTGCGGGTGTAATCTAGTGACTTCGTACATAACCTGGGACTCGAACCCGCACTATCGCCCTGCATGCATTCCCCCAATACACTTTGCATACATACTCATTCTTCCAAGTTGCTTCACGTTATGATCTTGCCTTTGAAAGCCCTATTTGAATATTGTGGCCAGCTGTCTTTGATGGTACGGTACGGGACAGGTACGGGATAGCGCCAGGCATCCTTTCCGTTTGCCGTTCTTTGGCACCAGCTCTGGCCTTCATCTCGGGTGCGGGTGTAAGCTAGTGACTTCGTACATGCGTTATAATAGACCAATCCCTTTGTCTGGGTTTGTGAAAAGGGCTACGCGTGCAAGTAAGCTCGTGCGAAGTGCATGGTTTTGTATTTAGTTGGTATGTGGAAGCTTATGGGACAGAGAGACTTTTGCTCCCCGAGCTTGTGTATGTAAATCGTGTTTTACGTCGACCATGACGGCTACAATGCCCAACCATACCTCAACGAACTGATCGGCTGCATCATTGTATTGCAAACGTTTCCATCTGTTCGAATATCATGTATGATGAGCTAGGCAAAAAAAGCATAGCGTAGGGCCGTGAGCGAAATAAATAAACTTTCTCTTTGCATTCGAGGGTAATATGACACCGCCTACCACCTTGATGACCTTGGCAAAAAAGGTATAGGGATGTTATACATTTTTCATTTCTCCTGTTTTTTTTCTTCTTCAAGACAGAACCTAGGATTCAAACTCGCACTATCGCCCAGCATGCATTCCCCAGATACACTTGGCATACATACTCATTCTTCCAAGTTGCTTCACGTTATGATCTTGCATTTGAAAGCCCTATTTGAATATTGTGGCCAGCTGTCTTTGATGGTACGGTACGGGACAGGTACGGGATAGCGCCAGGCATGCCGACAGCACAAACACACAATCAAACAAGGTATTAAAGCGATGTACTCTTGATACCGGGTTGTATGCAACCCTGCTTTCAGTTCAACTCTCTTGTGGTCACTTTGCACTGTTTTCCAGCGTAACCTTTTGAACCATGTCACTTGATGTTAAGTTCTGCCGCCGCAGCACTGTATAGAGGTTGTGCAGGCCGCTGCACACTCCTGGGGTTATGTACTCTTGATATAATGTACTTCAAAGTATGTTATTATATTTCCATTATCTTTAGCCATAATGTTCACACGAATCATTCTCGTTGAAGTGTATCATATCCGCAGATTTCTCAGTCCACAGCTTTGCTTTTAAAAGCTGAATTGCTGTGACGAGACGAGAGAGGATAGCAGCAAAGCAAACAAGAATCTAATAAATTGTTATGTCACAATAACTTGAAGAAAAACAATCTATACTGGATTTTCTCTAATAAAAGCCCAGGTCTCCAATAATAGCCCAGTCTCCAATAATGACCCGGTGTGAGGGTGGTTTGAAATAATAAGAGCACAGTCTCTAATGGTAGTGCGGGTCACAATTGGAGTACTTGTCGTATGCAACAAGTATATTGACTGCAAATAAAACAGCATTACAACATGCCAAGAACATTATTTGTAAGGAGGTTTTCGGTCTACTGCTTCCTTCCTGGCGCCAATGCTATTGTGAAACATCTGTTTTGACAATATTCCTGAGTTTAGGGTTGAAAAATCAGTCTTGATAGTTATGGTCAGTTTATGCTGGTATAGACTGGAGTTGGCTTGATATTCGACAATTGAATAAATAAGAGCCCAGTCTCCAATAATAGCCCAGTCTCTAATAGTAATGCGGGTAGAGCTGTCACTGAAAAAATTAGAACCCCGGGCTCTTATTAGAGAAAATGCGGTATGTAACATAATTTATATGGTACAAGCAATTTAAAGGAATCCTTTACCAGAAATAGTTCAGCATCCAGCATGCAGTACGCACTATGTTGTCTGCTTTGTCTGCTTGCAGGCAGAGCTGCTTCAGGTGGACATGGATCGGTTCCTGGCTGCCGACGCACTTGCTTCCTCGTCGTCCTATGCCGATATGCTTCACAACATGAACAAGCCCAGGACACTCGGGGACTGTCCCATTCTATTTCCAAAGAATAAGACCGTGTCTGGGAACATTATCAAAGTGAGTGAAGCAGAACGGACACTCGACTCTTACAAGTAGTTAGTTAAAATGCATTTAGCTCAAGATCTTTCATCCATTTTACTGCAAATACACACATTTTCAGCAGCTATTTAATTTCGGCAATATTCGTCACCGACCCAAAAGGCCGAAATTGAAACGCCGATGACAATCACATCATGTTTTTCACTCCAAAATTTGGAAGTTGTACAGAGAGTTCCTTTCGTGTTTGCAATACGAGCACCAGAGGTAAATTTCACATCGAAAGCAGTTCTATCTTTCCAGGACAAGGTCCAGGATGAAAAAATTAATAATAATTCTATTAGTAATGTGTGTTGTCTGTAATCCTCAGGCACTCTTTAAGCGCAAATGGAGGAGGCCATACAATTCAGATGTTGCCAAGTACTCAGTCGTTTCCATGGCAAGTCTGCACAAGTGCTTTGGTTACTTTTCGAGCTACTTGAATGACTTGTACTCGGCGATTGACGCAAAATTTTCAGTTCGATGCTACTGTCTTCCCTACTCACCTGCCGTTTGGGACAAGAATGATGGACAGTATAGAACTGTAGCTCCGCGTGGGGATCCAGAACTTCAAGGTAAATATACTCCACTCATTCCCATCCATAATTATTGAAGTTTTTGTGCACTAGGGCAAAGCCTTTGGTCGCTGTGTGTATGGAGTGGGGGTGAAAATGAGAAAGTTATAATTATAGAATTTGTTTTCTGCAGAGCAGGTTTCAGGATTCTTGCAAGGTTTTGAGATTTTGAATTTTTCTCTGATTCAGTGGGTTCCTTCAAATTCCCAAATCTACCCATACTTTTGTTGCTAGGAACAACGTGCAATCGAGCGTGTATGCTTTCTGATTGTACATGCACCTGAGTGAGAGATCATAAAGTGTAGTGCTGGATGGCTTCAAAGGAGGGTACACGATCCATGCAGAACTAAACGGATATGTTGTGCAACGGCCAGGACCTAGTGCTGTTCACGGCAATTACATCCTCCAAAACTGTCTTAGTCCAATCGATGCATGCGGATATGATACACAATGTAGTCGGGAGCCTTTTTGTTAGAATTCTTGTTCGTTATTTTCCAATGAGCTTCGTTTCCATCATATTGCGAGTTGTTGTTCAAAACGGTTGTCAACGTTATGGAGTTACCTGAGTAGAGTATGAATCATGAAGTACCAATCGCACCATGTTGCATGATGTGTTGTCCTCCAATAGCTGTAAGAAGTTGAAGAGATGCTCATACTCTTCTGCCCGTTTCTTGTCTGCTTCAGAGTTTCGTTTTCTAAGACAGCATTACCTATCCCACCCGGCGTACCAAGAACTCTGCACGGAGCAGGTGGAGGGCCTTGCGAATATGTCTAATGTCAGCTCCTTTTTCAGCCAAGCTTGCTGGAGGAAGGAGCTGTGCCAGGCGAACTCATGCAGTCCTAATCCAACTGTGCAGCATCAGCTGTGCTCCGGGCAAGTACCGAATGCTCATTTGCACCAACCTGATCGCTGCTACAGCCCTGTTCAGGGTGTCTATGTTGTAAACACGGACAAGTACGACTCCAGGGAGTCCAGCGTGCTGGGAACCTTCCTGGCCTGGAGCTTCTTTGAGAGTGCTACAACGGGCTGCTTCAAACCTGTTGGAAAGGAGGTCTGGTTCTATCACAGAACATGTAGCAGAAAGGTCGTTATCGAATCCATCTTTGCGGCTGAGTGAGTAGCGTTATTGGAAGTTACCACAGAATGCTTGGTTTTACCGTATAATTGGACTCGGATGGAGAGCCAAGGATTAATTTATAGAAGAAGAAAAAAGGACCAAGGAACTACAAGTTACGCTATAATGTTCACTAGCACCACCAGTTACTGAACAATCAGCTCATGTGATAACATTGCACGACACTGACCGACGGCACTAATGTTCTACAAGTAACTGGCTAACAGCTCTAGCACATCTTGGATGCGCGCTCCAACAGCCGGTCAGTGTCGTGCAATGTTATCGCATGAGCCGATTGTTTAGCAACTGGTGGTGCTAGTGAACATTATAGCGTAACTTGTAGTTCCTTGGTCCTTTTTCTTCTATACATTTACCATAATTATATGGCAAAAAAATAAAATTTGTCACAAGCCAGACATTTGCTCCATGGTTTCTTTGCTGCACTTGAATACTTGGTTTTGTTCGTTTGAGGGAGAGGTACAAACGGGAAGAGTCTGAAGAAAAATTTACTGTCACCACCGCGACTCGAAATTGAATACTTGGTTGGGTACATTTTTTTTCCAAAGCAGCAAAGAGACCACGGAAGAAAGGTTTTGCTTGTAAGTACTATTTTGCATCATGTAGCTGAAGTGGAGTTTGGACAACCTTAGGAAAACCCAACCGGCGGTAGGAAAAATGGAAGTTGAAGTGAGCTGAAGATATTTTAAGAATTTTTTTGCCTGATGAGCAGGTACGGATATAATGGATGGCTGCAATCATCCGGGAGTCTTTGCATATCGAGAAAGTTGAAAGGAAAGAGTTCTGGTGCATTTTGGAAATTTTCATTGCATTTCAGGTGACGATATCCCTGAAAGCAAGTCAGATTCCCCTGTAAGCAATTCAGACACTCCAACATGCCTAAGGGAATTCCCTGAACTGGCTATGCACAGTAAGCCTGCTCGTGTCTGCTAAATGTTTACATCTCAAGTTCAAATTATGCCATGATCGCGTTTAGAGATACATGCGCAAAGATCCTCGGAAATGTGGTCAAGCATTATTGGTCACTTGGAGCCCATGCAGAGAATTGCCAAAGGCAGAGTGTTGATGTAGACGAATCATTGCATTGCTTGTACATCTATGTGATAGGTACCAGCTGAACATCAGTACCGACTGCATTCTGCATCGCCTGAACTTCCTGTTGCGTCGCTACCGGCGTAGCGTCACCCCAGTGCTGCCTGGCTATAAGCTACTGCTGACGCCCTGGGCCGGCTGGCTGAACCAGTGGCACCGCATGGACAACAACGCCAACTCCACCTGCTTGCAGGACATTCACGGACCGATGGTACCGGAGTTCAGTATCTCCAACATCACCCTGAACCCGTCGCCCGGCGAGAAATTCGCCCTGAAAGTGGCCACGAGAGATGAGCTCCTCACTGAAGTCACCGCATCTCTGCAGATTGAGGTTTGTGGCAATTTTCCAATACCAGCACATTAGGCCACCCTGATTTAATTGGTTGTTTCGGGTCACACAATTGAAAATTGCTTTATCATGTTACCGCAAAAATGGTTTTAGTCCCTCAAACACAAAAGACGGCCAACTCATGATTGCATTTCCTCGCTACTCGAAGACGAATGCATCGGTGGAACTAGCTCCTCGTACTCTTTTTCTCTACAGTCGACCTACCCTTATAACGATATTTGCGTCACACCAAGAAATATTGTTATAAGGGTGATATTGTTATAGGGGTAAGTAGCTCATTTCGTACACATACATGTCCATCATAATGCATGGATTTTGTTCATTTTTTACACTCTTCATAGCATAAACACTGACATACATGCCCAGTATGTACACAGCAAGGTGCCCACTGGTGCCCCCATTGCATTTTGTCATGTCCCAGCGACTTATCTGGCTGCTCTTCTTTTTTTGTGGCTCGCCAATACATTCGCCGACGGCGGTTGGCTGCTTCTTTGAGCACGCCAGTTCATCTTTTCATAGTCTACAGGGCTACCATGCATTGTTTCTACCTCAGTCGCGTATGACCTACACTGCACTGTAGTTGCCGGATCTAACATTGGTCAATTAAATAGTTGCTTTGTCGACTGAACGGTGCTCATTCCTACTAACTAGTTCTTTGTGAAGGGATAAGAAAAAGTATGTTCCGCAGAACCACATCTGTACGTTCACCAGAGGCCAGGGCATGGCAGCTCCGTATGACGCCAGTTGACACCGGAGGTAAGATGCAACTCCAGCTTGTTAAAAATGTTAGCGTGTGTACAAACATACATGTACTTGTAGCTAACAAAATGTATGATGAAATTGAGGTACACGTAGTTGTTTAAAATTGATGATTGAGGATGTGGAGAACATTGTAGAAGAAATTCAAAATTCAAGTTTGTTGAACAGTACTAGATTACGCCACAACAACACCATCAACAGCATTAGATAGTTCTCAGTGGTACTAGTGGGGGACAACCAACGTGTAGTCGGGGTGTTCCGACGTGGTGAAGGCCTACCCATGGCCGCGTCGGGACATCACCAACCTCGTGTACAGAGAGCACCTTCTCACGACAGTGTCATGGTGGTGACAGCAACTGTTGTCAGCTGACGAGCTGAGAGAGGGACGCCATGGGCAGAAGTTGGGAGAAAAAAAGAATAGCTACTTTTATTTATGACTATCAGCACGACATCCAGGAGCGATCAAGGAATACACGACTGACGTTAGGAGAAGTCTAAAAACTCCCCTAGCATGATGAGGGTCGGAACCGTTTTCAACACCCATATGGTTCAGAAGGTCCCAACGGACCGGGGCTCTACCAACCGTGGATGGTTGTAGTAAGGTCACTGTTTCCGAACACGGTGTCCTCCACCTTGTTTCATGCTGTCAAACCAGCAACACAGGCAAGGCATTGTATACAAAAGTCAATGGAGTGATTTGGTGTGGCAGAAAAATATCGTTTAAAGGGTAATATCGTTATAGAGGTTATCGTTATAAGGGTAGATCGACTGTATATCTGAGATCTAGCTTACTAGTTTTCAAAATACAATGCAGCTCTGATACGACACACCACCATGGGGAACAGAGAAGTGTACACTACAATAAAAATAATTCCCAAAATAAATAAATTGCAAAAATTGACGAAGAAGGACACATGGAAAAGAACGAGAGAAAAAATGAATACAGCTGACCTGCAGGACTTAGACGAGACGAGGTTGACATAGTCGAGACGAGGACTAGTGACGATGAGACGAATGGCGGTTGAGGACGACTGGGACGATGAATTCAGTGTCGTGGGTTGAGCGAATAGTCGGGAGCCAATGTTGAGATACTAAAAGGAGTCATACTCCCAGACACAACGGAACAACTTGGGACAGGTAGGAGTAACGACATTTATTATGGGAGGCGATGGGACGGAGACAAAGACAAAATTAATGGTTACATGATAGAAGAGAGAGAGACAGAGAGAGAGACAGACAGAGACAGAGAGATCGAGATCGAGTGAGGGAGAATTCAGGGGAAAGGGCCTGGGTAGGTATGAAAAATATGGGCGCGCAAGTAGCTTGCCAGGCCAACGGAACAAAAGATTAGTGCATGGCTACATGATAGAAGAGAGAGAGACAGAGAGAGAGACAGAGAGAGAGAGAGAGAGAGAGAGAGAGAGAGAGAGAGAGAGAGAGAGAGAGAGAGAGAGAGAGAGAGAGAGAGAGAGACAGAGACAGAGACAGAGAGAGAGACAGAGAGAGAGAGACAGAGAGAGAGACAGAGAGAGAGACAGAGAGAGAGAGACAGAGAGAGACAGAGACAGAGAGAGACAGAGAGAGAGAGAGAGAGAGAGAGAGAGAGAGAGAGATCGAGAGAGAGAGAGATCGAGTGAGGGAGATTTCAGGGGAAAGGGCCTGGGTAGCTATGGAAAATATGGGCGCAAGTAGCTTGCCAGGCCAACGGAACAAAAGATGAGTGCGTACCGGGTGCATACATCATTACAGGACAGCTGGAAAAGGTTGTAGAATGTACGGGAGGAGGTACCTAGCACAAACATATTTCAGTACGGATCAATGCACCCATGCTCTGGACAATGTTCAAACTCAACAAGCGTGCTTCTTATCACAGTAGGTACTTTGTGAGTTTCATTGTATCTGTGGGTCGTAAAAGCAGGGGTGTCGGACACGGTACGGTCACTACCGTATTGACCGTACCTCTTTATGCTCGAGGTATCCCGTGAATCAATAAAATACACTGATCTGGGATGTAAATTTCCAAAATGTTCGGCTCAGCCACCACTCCCCCAAGAGTAAATTGTACTTCAGATGGCTGACCGTACCACACTATAATACCTTCCAACGCCCCTGTAAAACGGTAAGCAAATCCTTCCTCCTCCAAACAGGACTTGAGTATCGTAACTGGCCTCAGTCTCTCAATCATGGTCTTAGACCGTCTCATTATGTCTGGCTGCCTTAGGCAAAAACCTCAGGTTGTCTGCAAATCCTATCAAGCCATTCAAGGTGTAGATGTAAGCTCTAGGTCTCTCTTGATGTTGTCCTGTGTGTGTGTGTGTGTGTGTGTGTGTGTGTGTGCGTGTGAGCGTGTGTGCGTGTGTGTGTGTGTGTGTGTGTGTGTGTGTGTGTGTTGGGTTTTGTTTGGCTATTTCAGCTATATGCAGACCATCACACTGTTCTTCTTGGTCATGGCAAGCACATCTACAAGACTGGCGAGGTAGTGGTGTTTGGCTCAGATGTGGCTCTGCAAAATATTGCCCTCTATGGCCCACCGGGTGCAACGGGCTACCTGCAAATCAGAAGCCGTGGTGAGTACAATGAAAAGGAGCCCTCATTGTGCATTTGAGTGCTGGAGGACATGATTTTCTTCAAAAACAGGAGGCTCCAATTTAGCCAATTGACCAAAGTGGTGGTGGTAAGATTGGCAAAGGGAACTGAAATACTTAGTAGTATACTTACAAAGCAAGTGTGGCCTTGTATTACGGACCTGATTGACACAGGAAGAGGAGCCTGTGTCAAAAGTTAAAAAAATATATAATTATAAAAAAAGTTAGCCGGATTCGCGGCCGCATCACCTGACGTGTTGAGGAACACGTCAAGCAAATACATTCGCATCGGCGGGCCACTACTTCGCCCATATATCCTTAGTGTCGAATGCAGACCTCACAAGTGAGTCAGGGGAGAGGGGATAAGTCTCTCAACAAGCCGGCGTGTAAAGGCCCTATAACCCCATAAACCGCATCCTTGTTACCCTCACACCGAGCAAGTGAGTACCCAGTTCACCGTGGGTGTCGGCACAGTTCATTGCATGTAAAGTGGTACTCGCCTGCATCACCGCGATGGAGAGAGCACTGAACACACTCCCTGTTACCAGTGCAGGTTTTGAACTCGGAACCTCATGATTCTCAGGTAAGCCTGCAAACCAATCGGCTATACGCGTTAACAGTGGCTTTAAACTAGATCTTTTTTTAAAATCTGGGTTTATGACGAACTAAGTGACATTCGGCCAATCATAAGACATCATTGATGATAATGAGGAATGCTGCTACCCCGATTCGTGTGTAGTAGAATCATTATTTCTTATTCTTTACTGTCACATGATGTTAGCCAGTGAAGAGGTGTGCGAGTTATACCCACCAGTTGCGGAAAGCAGTCTTTAGAGACAGTTATTGTTATTCAATGGTCAAATATGTATGCTGAAGTATAGTCTGGGGCCTCTAATGACTGTTCTCGAAACTCAGGTGGTCTTCGTAGATGGGTTCTATTGTGTGTTGAAACCATGACAACATTGTCTCGGGTCTGTGATGACTGGCCTCCAAGCACAGGTGGTCTCTTGTTTCAGGGGTTATTAAACACAGGTATTTAGAACAAAGGTTATGCTCAGTGGACACTGCAGCAAAAGGAGCATCGGAACTTTGAAAATAGTGAGTCCCACAAAGTTTCTAGTCAAATGTCCCGGCTTTGTAAAGCAATGCCTTAACATTCCTTGGAAGAATGAGGATCGGATGAAAATGTAATAATTATTCAGGCCAATTCCCTATAGTGAACATACAGTGAGTGCTAAGTGATAATCTTCTTATGACCGTTTCATATCGGTTTGTGTGCAAATGCGCGCGCACGCGCGTGTGTGTGTGTGTGTGTGTGTGTGTGTGTGTGTGTGTGTGTGTGTGTGTGTGTGTGTGTGTGTGTGTGTGTGTGTGTGTGTGTGTGTGTGTGTGTGTGTGTGTGTGTGTGTGCTTGTATCCATGTGTGTACGCTTTATGATGCAGGTCAGGATTCCTATATCTCCAGCAGCCCATCATTTCTTAAGCTGAGAATACTGTTTGTGCTGCGAGACTGCTACTTGGGATTTCACACAATGAAGGCCATCAATGACTCCGTCGTGAGCTAGCTCCGCTGATATGCATGCTACTGGCCAGTTATGTTCAACCATTGGCTTCAGAACTGCACCACACAGGACATACAGCATGCCCGTATTTTCTCCAATAAAAGCCCAGGTCTTCAGAAAAAGCCCAGTCTCCAATAGTAGCCCAGTCTCCAATAATAGCCCAGTCTCCAATAATAGCCCAGTCTCCAATAATAGCCCAGTCTCCAATAATGACCCAGTCTCCAATAATGACCCGGGGTGAGGGTTGTCTTCAGTAAAAGCCCAGGTCTCCAATAATAGCCCAGTCTCCACTAATAGCCCAGTCTCCAATAATGACCCGGGGTGAGGGTCGTCTTCAGTAAAAGGATAAGAGCACAGTCTCTAATAGTACATGCCATACCCTGTTTTCAACATTCACTATCGATGTATGCATTGGCCGAGGTAAATACTGTTACTCACCTCTTCTTTGCTCCGCTACAGGCAAGAGGCATTGTGGATGCCTATTGCAATATCGACGCTGAGGATGTTGACAGTACAGGGCAACAAGAAAACGGCATGACACCCAAACAGCATGGCGGCCGGCGAAGCCAAGTCTTTCGTTTGCTAAGTTGCCACGTGAACTACGAGCAGAACGAGGCTTGCGTCGAGAAAAACCCCGACAGCCACCATAACACGAGGGTGAAGATTCAAAGAGGCTGCTGGGCCGGTCGCATACATTCCACGGCACAGTGTGAAAGGCCACCTAACCACGTACCAGCACCAGGGCAGAACGTGTCTTTGGGTCAGGATAGCAACTGCGGTGATGACAGTGAGTTTGTGGCAGGCCAGTGCGACAAGATCGAGTGCAAACTTAGCCGAGCCGGCTCGCCCAAGCACAAAATCTGGACGCTGGGCATTGATAATCCATGCTACAAGTGGTGTCACTGCACCGGCACTCTGTGTTCATCGTGTCTCGACGGCTTCAGTCGACTGCCGAGCACTGTTGTAAGTGAAGATTTGGAACAATGCACCCAGAGCAGGCAGACGTAGTAGAATGGCCTAAGACCGTGACTAAGAAGCCGGCGGTACCAGTTTGAAGTCCTGCCTGGACGCGGTTGGATTTTACAACCATGCTGCGACTGAGTTATTTGGGGACTCGTGGTCTGGCATGAGGGGGTAACATGGGTGCAGCGAATAAAGTATGCGGTCTTTGGCGCCACGTTAGTGGTTGGTCTTAGTTTTATTTTATTTATTTTCTACAAATCCACATATCTCCAGACACTGGGGTGAATAATGGAGTGTGGTGGTGGGGGGGGGGGGCATTAAGCTCAGCCGACCAGAGGTCTCGGGTTCATTGCTCCATGAACGCACCAAAGGGAGATCGGGTTGGGAGGATTAAGTTGAAAAAAGAAAGCAGAAGAAAGAAAATTGAAAGATTGTATTGCTCAGTGAGCAAAAGAATAAGTTGAGTAAGCAAAAGAATAAGTTGAGTAAGCAAAAGAATAAGTTGAATATTGACGAGAACACTGTAGACTTTTAAATTCAAGAGGAGACTGTCTGTGAGGAGAGATTATGTCCAAGCATTATCATAGGCTCACTTCCGCCTATTTAGGAGCTGCATCTTCGCCTGATCCGTAAGGGTGGTCGTGTTGCTGCGGATGCAGAAAGCTTAGTTTGACTGGGTCTCACGTCAGCCGGGTATTTGCTCACTTTCTTACACGGGGACGTGTTGCCTCCCAAATGTATATAGAGTCAACCTTGTGCCGGTGAGAAGGCGTAAAATGCCTGTGCGTGCTGGTGAAGTAAAATAAATATATACACACAAACAAACGCTTGCGAATAACAACCCTCGCCCATGTATGCGAAACATGTTCTCGACTTTTCACGAGTTCTTGTTATTCGTGAGGGTGAAAGAATATACATGTACGGCGTCAAGTGGTCATTAGGTCTGAGGATTGTGTCGTTATTTGCAAGGTTGGCTGTACCTCCCTTTGCTTTTTCCCTTCATGTCCTATCCACCTCATGTCCCCGAATTCCCATTGCCGTCCCTTTTCATGTGCTTAAACTGCAGGGCTGCCATGACTGTAGGAAAGCTAAAGTCAAGATCCATTTGTGGCAGTTTTACCTGCTGCTTGCCTTCGGAGGTCTGGTTATTCTCACCATTCTGCTCTTCTTGAACATTGGGGTATCTCCAACACTGGACGGCTGGTGGTTCTTCTCCCAGGTAAACCGTCATGCGTATCTGTGTACAAAGTTGGCAACTTCCACTGCTCAAAAGTGCTCAATGCCAACACTTCCTCTGCTCAAACAATGCTCAACACCCACACTTCCACTGCTCAACAGAACAGATGAAAATAGTAACAGACATTTGTTCTCTCTCTTCAAACTGCAGCTTTACCTCGAAGCTACTAGCAACTTCACCTGGAATGGCGCTGTGTTGGTACGCACACTGAACACACTCGGACTGGGTCTCATCTGCCAGTACAAATCTCTCGACGGCTTACAGGCTGGCTTAACACAGCTGCTGTTACCACCGTTCATGATACTGGTCATCGTCGTACTGTGGTTCCTGGCTCGTCGAGGCATCGGCGCTCGTCTATGGAAGTTCTTCCAGCGCCGCAACTCCATGATGCAGGTATTCTGGCTAGTGATCCTCTTCTCCGCATCCAACACAGCCTATCGGAGTGCCCACCTGCTGCGCTGGGCCATGATTGGCCCACACCGTGTGGTGTACCTCGAGAGCACGATCGGCTACCTGAGCCTTGCACATCTGCCGTACGCACTGGTCGCGCTGGTCATGCTGATATTCGCCGTGCTCCCTGCCCCGATTCTGCTGCTCTGGCGGCCCGTTCACATCTGGCCGGCGCTGAAAGTGTTCATTGATGAGGCCACCCACATCTACGAGGACGATCGCCAGTGGTGGGCAGCCATCAGCATTCTACGCCGCATGCTGCTCGGACTGTTGCATGCAGTGCTGCCAAGTGGTCCGAGTCGTCGTGCGTCCACTGCTATGCTTCTTAGTGTGATCCTTGCTGCTCAGGGAATTTTCAGGTACGACAATCCAGACCAGTTACATCTTTCTCACACTTTGGTTGAATGTCGTATAAGCTTCTATTGCATAGAGGACAGTCATTCCATGATAATGTTATGGCAAACGTCTGCCACCAACCCTCTAAAGCTGTCTTGAAACACCTTATAAGGCCGGAGGGTACAGATGTCCCGTTTTGATCGCAACTACCAGGTCACTATGTTTGTCATAGTACAGGAATAGACTTCTTTCGTGCATACTTCCTTCATGTCATTAAAATTTTCGCTTCCCAGCGCAATTTTTCAAATTATTTTGTCCACTCCAAGGACAAAGAAATCAGCTAGAAATTGAGGCAGAGCATTGTCGACGGACGAAGCTTTAGTTTGTGGCCTCCCGCTTCGCTGCACTTGCACCTAAGGTCCATGTCTTCATCAGAGTTTGAGGCAGACCCTTCAACATTCAACAATACGCTGAACAAGACGCGCGTTCAAATTCATGTCAAGAAACTTTGTTTTCAAACGATCCAAGCGTCCAGGTGGCAGGCGATGACAGCTAACTAGCCTTCTTCAAGTACACTGTAACGACCTTCCAGCGGGATATGGTAAGCAGTTCCGCACCTTCTTTCCTTGGCAAGTGCTTCGCTGATTTTGTTGGTGTTTTCAGACCTGCTACCTTCGCAGCAACATGCGCAACACGTAGTGCATTTTAGAAATTTAAGAACACTTTGAGTCTTTGTTCCTGCCATCGTCAACTTCAGCATATCGTATACAGGAGAGACATCAGGATTCTTATACCTAAGCTTGCAGTCTTGATAAATGCCCACGCGAACGATGTGGGAGGGCACGAACTCCAGAATAACGATACGCTCTCTGGGGCGGAATAGTGTGGAGCGCGATGAATTTGTTGTTTGGTGCGGAAGAGAGCTCCGACAAAGTTCGAGACCACCACGGCTTCAGCAACAAGTAGACATTGCGCAGGAAGGGACGCACCAATGTTCGAACACGGAAAACGGCGAATCAGACAGTCGGACTAAGACGAGCAAGTCACAAACATTGTGATGTGCGAAACGACAATTTTATTGACGCCGAGGAAGTATTTGACCTTCGTGTTTTTAGTCCAGATCCCAGTGTTTTCCATGTAGCCATCATGATTGCACTCATTCACCAAGGGTATTATCGTGTTGTCAAATGCTGTTCCAATGACCGCGTGACTCACTTCACCAAAACTTGACTCTCTGTTAATCTGGCTGCTTGTGTGTTGTGCATCTGTAGGCCATACCGTCGAGAAGCCAGGCTGTGGCGCGTACATGACGTGCACAACTGCTTCGAGATGTGTAGTCTGCTGATACTCAGTACATGTTGCATTGCCTATGTGGTACACATGGACGTGATTGGAGGCACCGAGATCGTCACTATCAGTGACATATACGCTGGAATATTGTACGGCTGTTTTACCTGTGCGGCGCTGGCCATTGGCATTCGTCCGTTTATCTCCAGCTGGCGAAACAGCCTGCTGAGAAAGCCACGCAACACAGCTCAGAATGTATGTGCCGTGAGCGAGCTTGACGATGACAATGACGACAATGACAACCTTCCCCTTGGCAATCTGGGAGAGAAATGCTCGGCGGAGGAACGTAGGGGGGTCCCTCATGCAGGCAAACCGTCAGTTGAACGCAGCATCAGCAGCAACCAGTCATCCTCCACTGGCAAGCAAGCTAAACCAAAGGTATGCTGAACAGATAAAAGTGTGTAATGTCCTGTCAATTGGAGCACTGTGACATGATTAACTTGAATCCTGACCTTATGAAAGAAAATAACCTTTCATTTCCATCAGCCCGTGCCTTATTTGGCAGAATTGCACTGATCAGTTCACAAGGATGGCCCAAGCGCTTTCGGCAAGGTGGTTACATTCAACTAGGACAAATTAACAGTTGCTGGGCATGATTATATTAATTACACAGAGCTATAGGGGCACATGCCTGAACGTGCGGAATCTAGCTGACATGTTTCTAAGTAACCCCCCACTACATGTGCCCAGACAATGCAGTGCATTACAAACGTACGTTTAGTAACCAAGCAATAGTGACAATAACGCCATGATTTAAGTTAGACACACGACTTATTAAGACAGCTATAACGTCATCAGCTAAGGCTGCAATCGGGCATGAGAGGCGTAGCAGTCCTGACTGGTTTGTCCAGAGTGCGGCCACATTGGAGCCCATTCTGAAGGCCCGGAATGATTTGTATCGGAAGTGTCACTCTGGTTCCCGGGCGGATTTGGTTGCCTACAGGGAGGCCCGTGGTGAGGCCCGTGCGGCTGTTCGTTCCGCAAAGGAGAGCTGGCTCAGTAAACAAGCTGACATCGTGGAGGCTGAGCGGTTTAATACCAAGAGTGCCTGGGCTGCCATTCGGGCGATTCGGCGATGCTTTGGGGGCATCACACCCATGAAGGTGCAATCCATCCAGGACACCGATGGCATTGTATGCACGTCGTTGGAGGCCATCTGGTCCAGGTGGTATGAGCACTTTTCAAACTTCCTTAATATCAGGAGCCTCTATGACTTGGACGTTTTCGGTACGCTGGAGGTCAGGCCCGTCGACGAGGAGCTCGCCATCCCTCCATCTCCTGAGAAAGTTGGTCGAGCTAAACGTGCAATGGCTAATGGCAAGGCAGCTGGCGCATCAGGGATCCTGCCCGAACTTGTGAAGTATGGCTCCAGTGAGCTGCATGAATGTTTGCTGGCCTTGCTTTTGACTGTCTGGTCCTCAGGTGGTGTTCCTCAGGAGTGGCGGAATGCCCAGCTGGTGCCAATCCCAAAGCGTGGCGATCTATCGCTCTGTGACAATTGGCGTGGGATCTCTCTTTTGGAGGTGGTGGGCAAGATGGCTGGTCGCTTGATACAGAACTGCCTTCAACCTAGGGCCGAGCATCTCCTCCCGGAGTCTCAGTGCGGATTTCGACCCAACCGTGGCTGTGCTGATGCTGTGTTTACTGTCCGTCAACTGGTGGAAAAGGCATACGAGCATCGTGCAAAAATATTTTGTATCTTCGTGGACTTGAGAAAGGCATATGATTCTGTGCCTAGGGCTGCGCTGTATCGTGCTCTTTCTGTCCTTGGTATTCCTCCGACTCTCCTCAAGGTCATTGAGTCATTTCATGATGGCATGGTGGCGGAGGTGCGTGTGCCTGGAGGTGTCACGGATGAAATTCGTGTGGAGAACGGCGTGAGGCAGGGGTGTGTAATGGCCCCAATCCTCTTTAACCTCTATCTGGCTCTGGTGGTTGAACGTTGGCAGTCTGTTCTCTCTGATCGTGACCCAGACATTGGCCTCCACTTTCACTATCGCTTGGATGGCCAGTTATTCAACCCAGCACGACGAACCCGTACCTATCAGCAGACCGCTGTTGTTGATGTTGAGTATGCGGATGATGCAAACTTTGTAGTTGGTTCGCGGGAGCATGCTGTGTTGGCCTTGACGGCGTTCCAGGATGTTTCTGCTGAATTTGGCCTCACTGTGAGTATACCCAAGACCAAGTTTATGGTGGCTGGTGTTGGTGTTACTTCAGTTGACACTGCTGGCATTCCGCTTCATGGACAGGTGGTGGAAAATGTTTCCTCCTTCGTTTATCTGGGTTCTGTCATCACTCCATATGCGCGTTCTGCAGGAGACGTTTCGAGGCGTTTGTCACTCGCCTCGCGTGCCTTTGGATCGCTCCAGGATGTGTTTGCTAATCGTGATCTTTCACTCCATGTGAAGCGCCGATTGTATAACGCCTGTGTGATGACAGTGCTACTGTATTCTTCGGAGTGCTGGTGCCCTTTGCAGGGTGACCTCCGGCGCATCGATAGCTTCCACCAACAATGCATCCGTAGCATCTTGTGTGTTTCGCGAACACAACAGTGGGAGGAACGCATCACCAATGAGCAGCTCCGAGAGATGTGGGGTGATCCATCGCTATTGGCCCCCCGGCTTCGGAAGCGGAGGCTTGAATGGCTTGGCCATGTGGCCCGCATTTTGGATGTTCGTGTGCCCAAGCAGCTGTTGTTTGGCTTCCTACCGTCGCCTCGGCCTGCGTGTGGTTCCCGTCGTCGCTGGAGGGATGTGATTTCGGCTGATCTTCGGCACATCGGCATTGAACATCTGACTTGGTATGGGATTGCTCAGGATCGATCTGCCTGGCGGGTGTCTGCCGTTGGGCCGAGCCTCGGCGGTCCTTCCCATGACCAATCTCAACGGGTGGACTGTCTTATCTGCCACCGTTCGTTTCGTCGGCCAGGTGACAAAGCAAGACACAAGTGTAGCGCAGAACGAAGTCTCCCCATCCAGGGACAGCGTGGTGCTGTGCAGTGTGGTACATGCAGGAGGTGGTTTCACTCTCGTGGTGGCTTGCGTGTACATCATTGTTTGCCCCTGGAACCATCGGAAGCGTCCGCGCCGGCGTCACCTATTCCGCTCAACGTCCCAGCTTCTCTCTTGTGTGTGACATGCAATCGGCAATTCAAGTCAGTGCCTGGTTTCAGACGTCACAAGTGCGACCGTGGCCATCGAGCAACCAAGTCTGATAGAGCGTCGTATGGTGTTCGCTGTTCTCGCTGCAACCGTCAGTTCCGTCGACAGAGTGACCTGAGTCGTCATCTCCGTTTCTGCTCCTGACAATGACTCTGGCTCCTTTCGGAGTGGTGTGGCCCTTGTGGCAACCAAGCTACAGTAGTAGTAGTAGTAGTAGTAGTAGTAGTAGTGGTGGTGGTGGTGGTGGTGGTGGTGGTGGTGGTGGTGGTGGTGGTGGTGGTGGTGGTGGTGGTGGTGGTGGTGGTGGTGGTGGTGGTGGTGGTGGTGGTGGTGGTGGTGGTGGTGGTGGTGGTGGTGGTGGTGGTGGTGGTGGTGGTGGTGGTGGTGGTGGTGGTGGTGGTGGTGGTGGTGGTGGTGGTGGTGGTGGTGGTGGTGGTGGTGGTGGTGGTGGTGGTGGTGGTGGTGGTGGTGGTGGTGGTGGTGGTGGTGGTGGTGGTGGTGGTGGTGGTGGTGGTGGTGGTGGTGGTGGTGGTGGTGGTGGTGGTGGTGGTGGTGGTGGTGGTGGTGGTGGTGGTGGTGGTGGTGGTGGTGGTGGTGGTGGTGGTGGTGGTGGTGGTGGTGGTGGTGGTGGTGGTGGTGGTGGTGGTGGTGGTGGTGGTGGTGGTGGTGGTGGTGGTGGTGGTGGTGGTGGTGGTGGTGGTGGTGGTGGTGGTGGTGGTGGTGGTGGTGGTGGTGGTGGTGGTGGTGGTGGTGGTGGTGGTGGTGGTGGTGGTGGTGGTGGTGGTGGTGGTGGTGGTGGTGGTGGTGGTGGTGGTGGTGGTGGTGGTGGTGGTGGTGGTGGTGGTGGTGGTGGTGGTGGTGGTGGTGGTGGTGGTGGTGGTGGTGGTGGTGGTGGTGGTGGTGGTGGTGGTGGTGGTGGTGGTGGTGGTGGTGGTGGTGGTGGTGGTGGTGGTGGTGGTGGTGGTGGTGGTGGTGGTGGTGGTGGTGGTGGTGGTGGTGGTGGTGGTGGTGGTGGTGGTGGTGGTGGTGGTGGTGGTGGTGGTGGTGGTGGTGGTGGTGGTGGTGGTGGTGGTGGTGGTGGTGGTGGTGGTGGTGGTGGTGGTGGTGGTGGTGGTGGTGGTGGTGGTGGTGGTGGTGGTGGTGGTGGTGGTGGTGGTGGTGGTGGTGGTGGTGGTGGTGGTGGTGGTGGTGGTGGTGGTGGTGGTGGTGGTGGTGGTGGTGGTGGTGGTGGTGGTGGTGGTGGTGGTGGTGGTGGTGGTGGTGGTGGTGGTGGTGGTGGTGGTGGTGGTGGTGGTGGTGGTGGTGGTGGTGGTGGTGGTGGTGGTGGTGGTGGTGGTGGTGGTGGTGGTGGTGGTGGTGGTGGTGGTGGTGGTGGTGGTGGTGGTGGTGGTGGTGGTGGTGGTGGTGGTGGTGGTGGTGGTGGTGGTGGTGGTGGTGGTGGTGGTGGTGGTGGTGGTGGTGGTGGTGGTGGTGGTGGTGGTGGTGGTGGTGGTGGTGGTGGTGGTGGTGGTGGTGGTGGTGGTGGTGGTGGTGGTGGTGGTGGTGGTGGTGGTGGTGGTGGTGGTGGTGGTGGTGGTGGTGGTGGTGGTGGTGGTGGTGGTGGTGGTGGTGGTGGTGGTGGTGGTGGTGGTGGTGGTGGTGGTGGTGGTGGTGGTGGTGGTGGTGGTGGTGGTGGTGGTGGTGGTGGTGGTGGTGGTGGTGGTGGTGGTGGTGGTGGTGGTGGTGGTGGTGGTGGTGGTGGTGGTGGTGGTGGTGGTGGTGGTGGTGGTGGTGGTGGTGGTGGTGGTGGTGGTGGTGGTGGTGGTGGTGGTGGTGGTGGTGGTGGTGGTGGTGGTGGTGGTGGTGGTGGTGGTGGTGGTGGTGGTGGTGGTGGTGGTGGTGGTGGTGGTGGTGGTGGTGGTGGTGGTGGTGGTGGTGGTGGTGGTGGTGGTGGTGGTGGTGGTGGTGGTGGTGGTGGTGGTGGTGGTGGTGGTGGTGGTGGTGGTGGTGGTGGTGGTGGTGGTGGTGGTGGTGGTGGTGGTGGTGGTGGTGGTGGTGGTGGTGGTGGTGGTGGTGGTGGTGGTGGTGGTGGTGGTGGTGGTGGTGGTGGTGGTGGTGGTGGTGGTGGTGGTGGTGGTGGTGGTGGTGGTGGTGGTGGTGGTGGTGGTGGTGGTGGTGTGGTGGTGTGGTGGTGTGGTGGTGTGGTGGTGTGGTGGTGTGGTGGTGTGGTGGTGT